GGCGGAGGTGTGGCTACGGTGGGGTCTCCCGCCTGCGTGCGCCCTTCGGGAAAATGGAGGCTGCTCGAGGCCTCTCAGGACTTGTCTTGCGCAGAAATCCTGGGCACTTCGCCCTTTCCGACTGTGTCTTGGGAGGGCTTCCTCATAGGCAAGGGCCGCCTCTGCGCACCACTTTATAGTTGAGAGCCTGGTTTCCGGGCGATACTTAATACAGTGTATACAATTTTGCAGTTGGGAAGGTGGATTTTTGCATTTCTTTCCCCTCCCCTGCGTCCGATCATGTGCCCCTGATGCCCTCGGTTTGCTTGGCTAACGGACCGAGAGGTCTAGCTCCCATCCCCCAGGGTATGGCGGAGCCTGCTGGGTAATGGTGTCGAATAGCAACCTTGGGGGCTGGCGCTGTGGCTTATCTCGCGTGGGCGCCCACTCCCGAGCAGCTGTCTCCACCCCTCTGCTCTGGTTATCTCAAAGCCCCACTTGAATTGAAGCATGTCTTAGAAATCTCCCCTTTGACTAGTGCCTACTTAGTTCTTTATCCTTTCGTGTGTTAAGAATTGTAGCCCCCTAATTGAATGCTCAGTTCTTGGGTAAAATCCACCAACAGTTACTGGGCAAGGAGTTTTTCCCTGTAATCGGTAGAATCAGTTTTCCAAAATCCTGGTTTTAGGCAGTGTGGTGGGAGTTTTAGTTAGAGTTGTCTTATGACTGTGCAAATTATCCAAGAATAGACAAGTTCCAGATGGATTTGAAAACAGGCCTGGGTTTCTATCATTGCCATTCCATTTCAGGAGCTCCTGAGTACAGCAAGTGTCTAACACTGAATCAGATTTTTGCTTTCTACTGGTAATATTTACCTACAATAGCATTGCCCACAGTTGTGACCTTGCCTAGTGGGTTAATTTTAGAAATCCTACAGTCTGCCTGTAAGCTGGCAAGCTCCTGTTTTAAAGTGGGTTTATTGGCGAGGAGGGGGAGAAGGCACTATAGTGCAGGGTAAACTGCACCCTCTCCAGTGAAATTTGACACTGGCTCTAGGAACTGCAGTAATACATGCCCTGAACACATTTCATACTGGAAGCAACTCTTATGATACTCTAAAGGTTCCTTATAGTTAACTTTCAATTTGAAAGACCAGGTTTCCTTTTTTTTTTTTTTTTTTTTTTTTTTAAAAGTAGAAACTGATTATTGTTGTGTTCAATGCAGGAACACTGCCTGCCCCTAACATAACTTGTTCATGTTCCACTTTCAGTCTTACTACTTTGACCGAGATGATGTGGCTTTGAAGAACTTTGCCAAATATTTTCTTCACCAATCTCATGAGGAGAGGGAACATGCTGAGAAACTGATGAAGCTGCAGAACCAACGTGGTGGCCGAATCTACCTTCAGGATATCAAGGTGAACAAAGATCGGAGGGATGTCATGCTGCATAATTTATCTAGCAGTCCTCAGGTGTCAGAAACTACACTCAGAGACTAGCAGCTTCCCTTTTAAAATGAGGATACATTTGGCTTTTGTGCTTTTTTCGGGCCCACCGTCTAAGCCAGAGTAGGCAAACAGGAATGGGCAAGGATGTTAAACTGGAAGCTGTTATCAAGGGAAACTTAGATGTCCCTTTTGCCAAAAGGTTACGTATTTGGTACCTGCTTGGTTTAATTAGTAGAGACTACAGATGCATTAACCTAACTTCCTCTTCTCCAGAAACCAGACCGGGATGACTGGGAGAATGGGCTGACTGCAATGGAGTGTGCATTACACTTGGAAAAAAGTGTGAATCAGTCACTACTGGACTTGCACAAACTGGCCACTGACAAAAATGACCCTCATGTGAGTATTGGCAACCTGGGAGGAAATGGTTTTCCTTGGTTGCTGGGAAAGTTTTACCAATAACTTTCTTCCCGTCCTGTTTTCTAGTTGTGTGACTTCATTGAGACTCACTACCTGAACGAGCAGGTGAAATCCATCAAAGAATTGGGTGACCACGTAACCAACTTGCGCAGGTTGGGGGCCCCTGAAACTGGCATGGCAGAGTATCTCTTTGACAAGCACACCCTGGGAGACAGTGATGAGAGCTGAGCCTTAGGCTGGCTTCCCATAGCCACGGGGTGACTTCCTGGTCACCAGAGCAGTACCTGCATGTTAGAGTTACCTTTACCTTTTCTATAACTTGTACCAAATCATCCACTTACGTCTTTCATTTGTACCGTTCCTTCAAATAAAGTAATTTGGTACCCAGCTGCTGTCTTTGAATTCTTGGGATCGGCTAGAAATGTACTTAGGCCATCTTTGCCAAATCTAAGTGCCACAATTCACACTAATCAAAATGAAACACCTGAGAGGACTTGTATTTATGAAAATCCTTAGTTTATTAAGCCTTAGTTATATGAAACTCCTAAGTTTGGTAAAGAAACCAAGGCTTGAGTGTGTTGAATTCGGATAGGACTTCAAGACTCCTGATTCTGAATTGCATGTTTCCAGTGGCTTATTCTAGCTTTTGTTATTTTTATGTACAAAAGGCATTTAAAAGCTTAAGTAGTCCTGAAACTAATGATTATTGTTATCCACTGAGCTAACCATTTAGTACAGGCTGTCAGGAACATATTCTTCAGTGTGGACAGCTGCATGGCTACGACTGGATCGGTGTACACGCAGGTGAGACCAGGCCAGTGGAGCATCCCCCTTAGGAAACAGGCTAGGAATGTACTTCATCCCTATTGAAAATGAGAAATTTTACATGAGTATGGAAAATAACTTCATTTCAATATTAAATTAGCTGCAGTAGGAGAGCAAAGATTGAGACATCTTAAATAGTGAAAACCAATGACTAGTATCAGGCTACTGCAGACCTGTTAATATCCTTTCCCAAACAAGCCACAGTGATAAGTTTCTATCTAGCCCTAGAAGTAAGAAGGTAGCCCCTTTTAGTTTTCAGTCAAAGCTGTGTATTCCGACCACAGAAGTTCTCGAGAATCTAGAAATAGGAAGTTAAAACTTCCCTCCCACGGCACGATGGGGTGGGAGGGGAGGGCAGATGTATAACAGGGTGAGTGTCTACTAAAAATGGAATAAAACTGGTGGGGGATATCTGGCCCGTGAAATCATTTGGTCTGGCCCTGCCAAGGCCTCACCAAAGAAGCAGTTCCAGCCATCACATTAGGGGTGAGTTCATTAAATGATCAAATATAGCAGGCTAATTTTTAAGTTTATAATTTTGTATGGCCCCTTGAATGGTGTTATAAATACCTGAATGGCCCTTGGCAGGAAAAAGGTTCCCCATCCCTGCTAAAGGGAAATAGCTGGTGGTTTTGTGACAGCTTAAATTGACCCCACGGAAGCAGGAAAGCACATTTGAGTTCAGAAGTCTTGCTGAGGTTCCCGAAGCAGTGAGATACCCCAAGGGACCTGCATGCCCTCACCTTAACCATGTGCCGGTTCCCAGAGGTGTGGCACCCTTTGCAGGAGCTTCAGGGCCACCAAGTGGTCTTGGAGGAGTGCTCATACAGTCTTCCCAGCTAAACTTGGGCAAAGAGGCTCCTGACAAACTAGAGCCTCCAGTTCTGCCCCATGATTTTGTGTCTGCCACACTGTTGAAAGTGGGCTGGATCCAGGGGTAATGTCTCCACCTAAGCCTGGCCTGGTAGCCCTTCCTAGCATCATTCCTGTCCATGTAAACTCATCTTCCTTCACCCAGGTCCCAGGGACTTTTTCCTGTGTTGCCAGGCTCGGGTGAAATAAGCAAAAGTCCCCAACACTTCCCTAGGGCCCCTGCTGAGGTGGCTAAGTGTATGCCCCAAGCCAGTGCTGGGCATAGGTCCAGCATGCTTTGGCAGTGACGGGACCATAAGGAAATCATGGAAGGAAGGGTAGGTAGGCTCAGAGCAAGGGAAGCTGGATGGGGGTTGGGGGGCACCCAAGGAGTGGGTACAGTGACCCTGGTTTGGTAGAGCACAGACCTGTTTTCCAAAGCCCAATAGGGATCATGATCTTTGAGTACAGTGTGCATGTTGCTTGTTGATTGTGTACGTGGTTCTCTGAGATGACTTTCAGGGGCCTCTGATGTGTGTCGGTCAAGTTAAACTCGACAGTTTTCCTCTTGATGTGACACAATTCCGGGTGCTCCAGTGAAGCCCCTGCACACACTGGGAGCAATTCAAAGCTTGTCTTGGTCCCAGGAGTGGCAGGCTGTAGGCTTGGGTCTTTGGCAGTGCTGTCTACACCTGAGACTCTGTGAAGACTTGAGGGTGCCCACAGTCCTGATGGAAATACCATCGGGGTGGAGCTGAGCGGCATCTGAGGGGCACTGTGGTAGCCTGGCCTCCCGTACAGCGCAGCGGGCTTAGAGGCATCCTCCCCCTTCATCTTCCAGGCCCTGCTATCTTCCTGGTCCCTAAAGCTCTTCCTGGCCCCAGCGAGATTCTCGGGCGCCTCATGGAGGACAGACTTCTTGGGCAGTAGTAGTTTGGTCTTCGAGCTTGTCCTGGGGTGGGGGTGGTCGTGGGACTGCAGCCTCAGGAAGCGACTGATGATGCCATTATGAGCACCCTCCTCTTCCTCCTCTGGGTTTGGCTGGAACTCCATCTCTTCCTCACGTAGACTGGAGAGAAGCAGGAGATTGAGGGTTGAGTAGGGGGAACAGACGGACCAAACCTGGCCTATTTCTCCCTCACCTCCTCTCCTCCGTCCCTCTGGCCCAAGGTCAAAGACTCAGCCTTCCTCACAGTGCCCTGACCCGCCTCCTGATCCACCCTGTACCTCCTGACTAATGCCTCCTGGCCCAGCTCACCCAACTGTTCTGGGACTCCCCCTTGCCCACGCTAACATCCAGGCTCCCTAGCCTGGCATTTAAGGGCTTCCTGCTCATACCCACATCTTCCCTTTCACACTGTTCACTCCAGGCAATCTGGATCACTGGTCCCCTGGCAGGGGTGGGGACATGAAGCCCAGGAGCGACTGGGCAAGCCAGGGATTTGTGGTTCTGACTAGCGAGCAGCATCCCCAAGGAGAGAAGTCTTGCCTCCTGGGAGCCCAAGGCCTTTACTCTGCAAGAGAAATTCCTCCTACCCCAGCGTGCGGCCTGCCCTTGCCCTTGTCCAAATGCTCCCCACGCTTCAAGGCCCAGCTGCAGGCCCAGCTAGAGGCTACCTCCTCCCAGGTGGCCAGCGGTGACCTCTGTTCTGTGTCCTGTCCCTTTCCCAGGCATCCAGTACCTGCACTGTGTATCCAGAGGTTCAGCTCCCTCGCTAAAGTGTGTTCCTTGGAAGCAAGGCCTATGCGTTATTATTTTCTGTTATTCCCCCTCTGTCTCCACAACCTTCAGCTGCTGGAGCTCAGATCATGTAGAACTCGAAGGCAACCTCCAGAAATGTTTCTGATCTAAGCAAGCCTTCATTTGATCACTTTTCCAAACCTTGTTCATGCCAGCTGGGGAACTCCAGCTAATTTTAATCACAGCTTAATAGAATATTCAGTTCTTAAAAGAGCAAGAAGAAGGGGGCAAAAGGGGGGAAATGGGAGACATCTGTATTACTGCCAACCATTAAAAAAAAAAAAAAGAGCAAGAAGAGAACAGAGCATAATACTGTGGAAGAAAACCTTGATGCTATGGGCCCAAATAGGCCCTAAAGTCCTCTTTACTCTCATCTTAGAAAGAGAGAGCTGTCTAGGGTGACCCTTCAGCCCACTGTGGCCCAGCAGCAGCTGGCCCACATGTGCTTCTTGCCAGCTAAGTGATGGTGGGCTGGACAACTTAACCTCTCTGAACCTGGAATTAATCTTATCTGAAAACTGGAGATAACAAACCAAGGCTGTTGGGAAGAGAAAAACAGTTAATATATATAAAGAGCTTAGTATAATGCCTGGCACTTAGTGAGCACCCAGTATGCATTAATTAGGCCATTCTAAGGTCCCAGGCAGGCACTTGGGGTTTTCTATCCACCAAGTGGTTCCCTGGCACCTGATATTAAAGGTAGAGCCAGGAAAGGAGGGTCGGCGAGACTGGGCAGAAGCGGCTGTGTAGGGTGGCTGTGGTTCTGGGTCATTCCAGTACATGTCCCGCTCCAATGGGGGCAGGTCCTGGTGCATCTCGTCTACAGCCAGCAGGGACACCTGGTCACCAGGGACAGAAACCAAAGTCTAACAGAAAGATCAGACCAAGCAGGACCATGAACTTGCTGGGTGACTAGGAGAGGTCACTTCTGTGTCTCTGGGCCTGTTTCCCTACCTGCGAAATGGAGAGACTATTGCCTACCTGAAGCCTCAAAAGTTGGGGTGAGAATCCTGGGAGTGAATGGTTGGCAGGGGAGGGGAGAGGAGGATATTCACTGTCAGGTCTCTCTACAGAATTGTGGGGTCCCCCTCCCTGAGTCCAGTTTGGGGAGGTCCATGGGTTGGGCTCCCTCCTTTGCCCCACACCTGCAAGCTCCTGTCGACAATCCAGTTGGTCTCAAAGTCGTCATCATCTTCTCCAAATGGGTTGATGAGCTGCTCTGCCACCTTGGGGACAAGTGAGGCTCTGGGAATCCTCAGGTGGACTCCTTGCAGCCTTGCTTCCCCCTCTTAAGCCCCAGCTCCTGACATTTCCATCCCTTGCCCCTCCCCCAGGATCCCCTCTTGACTGACCATCATCTCCAAAGCCGCTGTGTAAGGGCTCCTGCCACCCACACTGGGGGCACCCACACACACTGCCTCTCCCTGTTTAGGACACTGGGCCTTTCTGACTCCCCTGAGCCAGAACCCCCTGAATACCCAGTCTCTGAGTGTGTCACTCAGCCCAGTCACCACCTTTATCTCCCCTCACTGCATCTCACCTGCATTGGAATAATTACTCATTTGCTCAGTTATTCATGTTTTCAAACATTCATTTATTCACTTATTCATTATTTTCTAATGCAACAGATGTATATGCTGAGGCAGTGCTGAATTAAAGGGCAGACTCCTGGGCACTGACCTCTGCAGTCTCCTGACAGGGCCCTGCAGTGGCAGTGAGTGCAATGCACTAAGGGGTCAGATGACATCCTAAAAGCCACCAGGAGGACTTCAAGCAGCAAAATGGTGTGATCTGGTTTGATCTGTAGATAACTGGGGAGGGGCGTGAATAGCTCTGTGTGTGTGTGACACATGGACAGGAGGGAGAGAGGGAGACACTACCACCACCAAAAAATATAGGAAGAGAGGGAGAGTGGACGGGAAATGGATGGAGAGATAAAGGGGTAGACAGAACACAGTCACTCAGAACTCCTGTTAGTAAGAGCGCTGGATGTGATGGGAAGAAGGACTTGGATAAGCCACTTGAGGTGGGGTCGACGACCCCTATTATGCCACCATGGACAATCTGAGTAAAGAGAGGTGGTGCTTATCTATCTTGTAAAGGGTGGGGACTGGGGGTGGTTAATCTCAGGGCTTTAGTTTTACTAAGAACAGTGAACAAATTTGGGACCTAATTGTTGGGGACAGTGAGAAATCACCTTGCCAGAACTGCCTGCTGCTGCTACTCTTATTTCACACATCCCCTTGTTCTTGTCAGACATTTGGAGATTATTTTCTCAAGGAGGCATCGAATGGTTTGACAACTGAGCTTTCCCCGTCTCTCGTGCCTGCTAAGTCCCAGGCCCTGGGCGAAGCATTGCCATCAGATACAGGCCTCACGCAGGCCCAGCTCTCCTTTGGGTCTCACGTTATTTGTATGTAAAGAGGTGGAGAAACTAGAGGGTCATGGTCAGGACCCAGTGCCCTACTTTCCACACTTGAGACTCCTCTCCTGGCTGGCCATGACCCCTCTAGCCACGCCCACAGCCCAACCTTGTCCCCAGGGCTCACCTTCAGCCAGCCAGCATAGAAAAAGAACTGCAGGAATGTGAAGATGGGTACAACGAGGTCCAGCTCGTGGCCAGGGTAGGCCTTGGCTGGGTTCAGAAACTGCCGCCCAATCAGGCAAGCCAGGAAAAAGCTGTATACCGCCACGGTCACCACCTGGGCAAGGAAAGAGGTGGTGGAAATGGGCTGGGTAGGGACCTGGGGTCAGAAGCTCCCGAGGCTGGGAGGACAAGGCCTTCCTCTGACTTACACACTCTTGGGATTTGGGGTCTCTGTGATCTCTTTAAAATGGGGATAGTCACACTGCCTCCAGCAGGCTGGATCAGGCAGGAACCTGGACTCTTCGAACTTGGCACTAGAGGAAACTTGCAAAGTCCAGACCCAACTCCCAGGGTGAGCCTCTTTCTCAGCCTCGAAGTGAGTCCTTCCCATCACAGGGTCCTCCTAGCCTCAGTTTCCCAAAGGGGTGACTTCACTGGCCTTGTGTTCACCTGCGTGTATACCAGCGGGACACTAATCCAGTCGTAGGCATACAGCTGTCCACACTGTGTTCGCAAGGCGTTCATCTCCTGGGAGGTGGGAGGGAGGGGTGGGGTTCTGACCAACACCTGCTCTCTCCCAGGCTCTTCCCCAGGTACCAGGGTCTGTGCTCATGGTCCAGCCCTAGCTGTGTGATCATGGGCAGGTCACTTAACCTTTCTGTGCCTCAGCCTCCTCATCTATCAAAGAGGAACCAGGCTTTCAGAGGCTCACTTTATGGAGGGGATGCAGGAGATTTTGGAAGGTGTCACATTGGGCTGTGGAATCCTGTTGGAAAAGATCCTATGATCCCAAGGCAGGCTCCGGAAAGACCCTCAGGGGCTGGAGCCTTCTCTGTGTTGGAAGCCTTGTTCCTCTTGGGACACAACCCTCCCTGCTCTGCTGCAGCCCCATCTGCGTAGTGGGCTTACGGTCAGCAGGCTCTGGAGCAGGACAGGGTCCCGGATTCGACCTCCAATCCAAGCTTTCATTGACAGGTTAGCAAACCACACCCAGGGCACCCAGAACGTGGTGTGCCACAAGCTCAATTTTTCTAAGTGCTTGTGTTTTGCGGGAGTCATGAAGCCTGCAGGGTAGAGCGAAGCAGCAGTGGGCGGGGGTCCTGTAGAGGGGTGGCTGGCCAGGTGGCCAGGCCCCACGGGGGGCCCAGGATTCAGGCCCAAGTCCCTGCTGAGCCTGTAGGGACCTCGGAGCTCCTCCGCCATCCTCTTTCTTTCAAAGAATAATTCCTGAGTGCCTACTATGTGCAGTTCTGGGCTGAGCAGGTGAGAGGGGGCTGTGTTACAGGTGTACAGGCCTGGAAGCCAGAGGACAGGAGAACGAGATGGGGGATGGCAGAGGGAGGCAGACCCTAGTTCCTCACCACTTCCCGAGGCCCCCCGGTCCCTGCCACCCACCGCCCACGCCTGTCCTCCAGCCGCTCTCCCCTTACCCCTCAGGGGTCCTTGGTCCTACCTCAAACCCGGTGCTCCTAGGAAAGCTCCCCGGCCTGGCCCCACCTTCAGTCACTCAACCCCGCGGGGCCAATTCGGGCCCCAGGT